CCCAAATTGTTGGGGGCAACAGGCTGACTCTGTAAACCGCTTAGAGAAGGCTGTAAAGCACTGTGAAGCGGTATACTAGTCTAAGTGCTCTTGCTACAGTGCTATTGCTACTCCGTTTTTTTTTAAAAAAAAAAAACAGGCCTCTGTCAACTGTCATACTATATTTTTCTAAGCAGTTGTACAACTTTAAAACAGTTTTTATTTGGCTTAAAAATAGAAACGCACCAATATATTAAAATATAGAAACCACATAAATCAGTGGTCATGAGCAGTGGAGCAATATCATGAGATGCAAATGTCAAAATGAGTCAGCCTTGCTTTCAGAGTTAAGTCCAGACTATAATTAGGACTAGGGATGGGCCACAACACTGGCACATTGAGACCTGCTTTTTGGTTCAATCCTTGGCATCTCCCATTAAAGTCGTTCTTAGACTTTCCTCCGCAGGGAAGAAAGGTCCGTGGCTCTGAAAGGATAGCCCCTCTCCGACCTTTTAATCTATTGCAAAGCCGAGAATTGCATCCAAATTCAAAAGTGATTAAAAAAAAGTAATGTGCGACATGTGTGTATGCCTGAGCGTGTGTAGGTGTGTGCAACCATCATGCGCACATAGATGCTGAATTGAGCTGGTTTCAGCTCAAACGAGGACAATGTCGCAGCCGCCAACAACAGGCAAGGCCCCTCTCTGGGTCGGCAAGGTGTGATCTTACTTCTCTTTGGAAAAACTCAGGAGCCATCCAGGACTTTGACTTTCCATTCCCCTCCTCTCCAGCCCAGCCCAGCCCAGCCCAGCCCTACTTGGAGGAACAAAGCTCTCCTCTGTTCCTGCCCCACACTGAAAGCAGCCCTGCCACCCAAGCACCGCAATGCACCCGCCTGCTCCCGCTTCTCCCTGGTCTACCTTAAATTCCCCTTCCCCACCCCTTCTGCCCTAGCTAGCTGGCTCACCTGCTTCCCTCCCCCACATCCTATTGGCACTGGATCCCCGCCAGGCCCAGCAGGCCCCAAAGCCACCCGCTGGCTCTGCTTCAAAGCCTAGGATGTGAACCGCAGCCCTGCCTCACCAAAGCCCGGGGCTGTATGAGCCATTCAGCAGGGGCTTTTCGCCAGTTCTGAGCTTTGAGCTTGAGTGCGGGCAGCCTTCAGGCAGGCACATGAAAAAGGCAAACAAAGGGGCAGTGGGCACTGCCAGGCTCAGCCTCTCCCTGAAACAGGAATTTGGGAATTAAGTCCCTCAGAAGACCTCACCTGTCCTTTAAGATCTGATAGGTAGAGGTGAGCAAAGGACACAGGCAGACACTTGAAAGCCCTCCGTTTCCTTATCACTCTCAAGATCTAAAGCTGAGCCCTGGCATGTT